GTTCTGAAGGCAAAAGGGGGTCCAACCCGTTACTAGCATGGTGTACCTAATAAAGTGGCCGGTGAGTGTATGTCTCTATGAACAGAACTTATCTCTGGATGTCTTCTTCTGTCTCTTTGCCCTCAGGTGAAGTCTGTCATCAACCTGCTGTTTGCTGCGTACACCGGAGACGTTTCTGCTCTGAGGAGGTAAAAAAAACCCAACACAACTTTAAATGCTAACCCGATCAGGCAGGTTCTGGTTCTGTCCCACAGCAAGACCAGTCTGGAACACATTTTTATGGTTCTTAGGAGAGGACACTTTTCCTCTCCACTCAAAATCTAATGATCTTTGGTGACCTCTAGTGGAAGAAAAGAAGAACTTTTCTCTCCCTCGTTTCCAGCAACAATTTTTTATTTTATTAAAACTTTAATCCGGGGTTTATGTTTTATGTTAGAACGTATTTTTATGTAATTCAAAGTCATTTTAAATTGTAAAATTTAAATTTAAAATTGTTTATAATATTATAATATTTTAAGCAGCGTATCACTTAAGGAACTGCTTAAAGCCCTCCACTATTTTTGGAAGAATATTTTGATACTGAAAATGCTCAAAACCCCATGGCATCATCTAGAAATGCTTGAAGCAGCTTGTCATTGAAGCTGATTAAAATGTCCAGAATGAATCCATTTCTCCTGACATTATTTTAGTTGAGAAGAAATAACTGATTTTTGAGGACCCAGTAACACGTGTAGTTAAATGTTTGTTGGTTCAGGTTTGCATTGTCGTCCATGGACATGGATCAGAGGGACTACGACTCCAGGACAGCTCTCCATGTAGCAGCAGCTGAAGGTAAAACTGAACTCAAACTGTACGGTTCAGAACAGATGGTCCGGTTTGGTTCTGTAAGTCACCACTGTCGCTTTGATTTCAGGACACATTGATGTGGTGCGCTTCCTGCTGGAGGCCTGCAAGGTGAACCCAGAAACCAAAGACCGGTAAGTTAAAGTGATCTGTCAGATCAAAGGCATTTGATGGGCTGAAGCCAGCGTCACATTGTGTTTACTGTAAACTGTAGTTTCCAAATGTGTTTATTTTTCCTCAGATGGGGAAACACGCCACTGGACGAAGCCGTGAACTTCGGCCACCATGATGTAGTGACCCTTCTGCAGCAGTACCATGAGAAGTACAACCCACCGCCCGCTGCTCAGGATGACCGGGCGAGCAGTGAGAAGAACCTGGACGGTCTCCTGTAGACCAGCTGCAAACATCTGCAGAGGAACTTCTTCATTATTACTCAGGCTTCTGAAACGTGCGGTGGCTTAGTTCAGCCTCGTGTGCTTTGCTTTGTGTTCCTATACAGTACCATAATGTGTTTGTTGTGTTGTGTGTGTGTGTGTGTGCGCGAGCAGCTTAACATTACTGTTGAAATAATACAATAAAAGATGAATGTGTATAATCTGGTGTTTATAGAAAACACACACWAAAAACTGTTGGGTCAGATTTGGAAAAAGCCAATCCTGGGTACTTTCAACTCAGCGTGTTTGACCCACTACCCAGATATCAGGTTAAAATTACTTATTTGTTGAATTAGAGTTACTAAAAAGCTAAGTTTAAAAAACAACAGCTAATCTAGGTATTTGAGTTTGCTAGCTATCTGGTGCTAACCACTATTAGCATCAAGAAGCAAGCACCAGCTAACTTTATTTTTGGAATATAAACTTGCTGAGACATGATCAAATGATCTGTGTTGAAAGTATAATTCCATTAACAAAGCAAACAGGGTTAAAGATTTTATTACAGGTTGATTTTCATGTCTTTATTTAGATCATAAAGCAGAGGTCCAGTCATGTCCGATATTGACAACTTTGGACTTAAAATGGCGGGAAAGTGGAGAATGACACGACTCAGCTTTGATCATTAAAAACTGTTGGGTCAGACTTGGATTGGGCTAACTCTGGGTACTTCTTAATTCAGCATGTTTGATCCAATGTACCAGATTAAATTTACYACCCAGATATTGGGTTAAAATTATTGTATTAGAGCAACTAAAAAGCTGTGTTAAAGAAAAAACGGCTAGTCTGTGTTTGCAGATCATTGAATTTGTTAGTCATGCATCAGCTAATGGTATCCTAAATTCACAGAAAATTGGAAAAATGCTTTGTGTCCAGTGTGTTACCAAACAAAACAGGGTTAAAAAATTTTTATAAGTTGATTTTATATCTTTATTTATTAGATTGTAAAGCAGCGGTTCAGTCAAGTCCCATATAGACGACTTCAGGCTTTAAATGGCGGGAAAGTGAAGAATGACACAGCTCWGYTTTAACCCAGCAGTTTTTAGTGTGTATGATCAGTTTTAGGCCTAAAATCACAGMTTATTTAGTTTAGTTCCAGATYAGTTTGTGTTATTTAGATTATAATCTCTCAGTRTTGGGTTTGTAMGACTGTGAGTTGTGTTTTAATCTCGTTTCTTGTCYCTCTCTCTGCAGCCTTGAGCCGATCTGATTATTTTATCGATTGTTGCAGGTTTTCTGAAGACAAAGATTGTTTTCTGAATGTATTTTTCAGTGGCAGCATTTCCAAAAGAAACAAGATGTGTGTAATATNACATTTCCTCACTCTGCTGTTGTCTTTAGTCTTTCTTCTCTACATGTTTATTGTTATTATTTCTATCCTGTTTTTTCTTTGTCTCTTCCAGATGAAGGTGCACCTGGACCAGTCCTGGACCAGTTCTTCTGTGTTTACCTGTGTCTCTTTCCTGTCCCTCAACCAGCCGGTCGAGGCAGATGGTCTCCTGTCCTGAGCCTGGTTCTGCTGGAGGTTTCTTCCTGATTAGCAGGGAGTTTTTCCTCTCCACTGTTTGCTCAGGATGGGAGACTGTGATGAAGTGATTCAACACAATCTGCTGCTTTCTTCTTTAGATTATTCTTTTTATGTACAGTGTCCTGAGACAACGTATGTTGTGACTTGGGGCTAAATAAACTTGAACTTGAATTTGAACTTGAACCATCAGTCGACCAAAGAAGTCTTTTGGATAAAAGCTGAAACGTTTCAACAAAGAAGAACMCGTCCAGAGGACTRGTTCAGCCTGAGTATTGTCTGCATAAAGGGAACTAAAACTGAACCAAAAGCCTAAAGAAGTGACAAACRCACCCAGAAGTTTGTCTCCCAGCATGGTGAGCTGCTCTTTGTTGAGGCCCCGACCCGCGAAGGTGGAAAACTGCCAGCTGAGGACCTCGGAGAGCTGAGTCCAGCTGGCCCGAGGCGGGTTACCGAAGAACGCCAAGTTCTGCGGACAAACAAAGATGGTGGACAGAGGAGGCGATGAAACCGGTCAACTCTCAACAAATTCATTCCTGTCCAATTATAATCTAACATAATCCCATTTCCTGTCTCACCCTCGGCTCGTCCGTCAGTAGGTTGTACCACATGACCGAGGCCCAGCCGCCAGGAAGTTGGCTCACGTTAGAAATCACCACTAGTGGAAGGGAACAYGTCTGAAACATAAAAATATGTAAATTTAATCACAAACGCGTCGGGAAACAAAGGCAAAACCAAACTTTCTTTTCAGCTGACCTCCAGGTCGATGGTGAGGCCCTGGACCGTGAAGCAYGCCTCGAAACTCAGAGAGTGAAGTTCTTCTGTCACCGAGAGCAAACCCTGCGCAGACACCACAAACCGGTCCCGGTCTAAGCCCTTCTTCCTGACTTACGTTAAATAAACGGGGTCGGATGAGCAGTTTTACCTCATTCCCTTTTGTTCCGTTGATGTATTTCTTCTCTTTCAGCTGCTATAAGACACAAACCCAACGTTAAGATGCCTCAAACTGTTTTTTTTAAAGCGGGTTGTTTTAAAACCTGAGATGGGAAATGTTCTCACCAGGTGTCTGAACTCCACCGACAGGCAGCCGTTGGAGTAATCCTCGATGTCCATCACTTTAGTGTTGTTGGTCAAAATGAAAAACTGGCGACTTCTAAGGAGAAAAKTCAGGAAAAAAAACAACTGACTTTTTTTAGAAGTACAGATTCAACATACGGAGGTAAATATTCTAGGAGAGAGATGGTAAGAAATGAATTATTGTGTAATTTGTTTATTTGAAGTTAGATTTACTTCATTTCAACACCTGATGAGAATCAGGTGGTTTTTATTTTTCTACAAATAATTCTCTTAAACATTATATTATTTCAAAAGAAAATAATAGAATAATAATAGAAATAGATTTCAATAAAATGTGAAAATAACAGCAAACGTTGAGGTGGTTCCTACTCACACTCTGCCAGGAGGAAGGTCCCTACAGAAACATAAAAAAATATATTAAGAAAATCAACAAACAGTTTAGATCTATCCTCATGAAGAATTAAAGACCTTACTTGTCAAATGTTGTTTTCACTTTTAGCTGATAATCAACTTCAGGGAGTTTGACCAGAAGCCTGCAGGAAATCAGAAACAGAAAACAGAATTTTACTTCATAAAAAGCAAAAAATAAAAAATAAATAAAAATACATTTATTATTTAAAACAAAAAAGGGAAGAAATCCAGGGAAATTACATCCTCTGTAATAGTTTGATGCTGAGTTAGCGCAAAGCTAAAAATACACTAGCTAAATGCTTAAAAGAACACTAGCTAAATGCTAAAGGAACAGAACATTAGAGCTAAAGAAGCAAAACACTATTTAAAAATGTTAAAGAAGCTAAAAACAGGCTGAAAGCTAATGAAGCAGAACATCAATCAAAAGCTAAAGAAGCAGAATACTGCTAAAAGCTAAAAAAGGCAGGACATCAACCAAAGGCTAAAAAAGCAAACCTCTAGCTAAATGCTAAGGAAACAGAACTTTAGCTAAATGCTAAAGAAGCAGACCTCTAGYTAAATGCTAGAGAAACAGAACAATAGCTAATTGCTAAAGAAGCAGAATATTCGTTAAATGCTAAAGAAGCAGAACAATATCCAAAACTAAATAAAAGAATGCACACTAATAGCTAAAAAAACAGAATATTAACTAAAATCTATAGAAGCAGAACACCAACCAAAAGCCAAAGATTATTATTGGCTAAAAGCTAAAAAAAAAAAAAAAGCAGAACATCAAGCACAGGCTAAAGAAGCAGCACAATAGCTATAAGCTAAAAAACAGAACATCAGCCAAAAGCTAAAGTAGCAGAGCATCAACTAATGGCTAAAGAAGCAGAACACTAAATGCTAAAGAAAAAACACTCAAAGTCATGGCACCATCTTCTGTATGAGCTGAATGTAAATAAAAGTGTATATAAATAATGAATAAATAAAGAATAGAGTGTGAATGTCGACTAAAGAGCGGTTCAGACCTGACTTTGGTGGTGAACTGGACTCCGGTCTTGATGATGAGGGGTTTCTGTGGGTGTGTGGGCATACAGGGTTGCTTCTCCACCACAAAGGAGCTGAAAACAAAACAAACTTTTATCGTTTATTAAATCTTGATGGTGGGAAACCACTGCAGCTATCACAGCTCTATGCCAGCGCGGCAGCCATGTTGGATTTTGAGGTTGGGTTGGTGGTATGGTTTGGGGCGTACCAGTTGGTTTGTCTGAACTCACTGAGTCAAACTACGTTGTGTTTTTTAATTTATATTACCATTGTTTATTTTAGTATTATTAAATATTTTTACAGAGATCGTACCTCTTGATGAGGTGGTAAATCAGATATTTAACTCGCTCCTCCAGCTGTGGTTTCTGCAGTGGAATCGGGTCACTCTCGTAGGAAACCTTCACGACCAGTTCGCCGAGTTTGTCCAGCTGGCGCTTGATCTGGAAGAGGCTCTGCGCCGTCACGGTGAACCTGCAGAACGAGAGGGTGGAGCTGCTTTGAAGAGAGAAAACAACAAGAGTGGAAACAAACAGGATGCTAACATGCTAATTTGTGCTAATGGACTCTGAAGAGTGGAAAGAAACAGGACGCTAATATGCTAATTAGTGCTNTCAGAGACTTTACTGAAGGTTGTGTAATTTATTGTATTTGAGATAAAGTTTCTGTTTGTGTTAGCTGTTGTGAGTTTTTATTTTAAACCTGGTAATGTTCACAGAAAGGCGGGATTTCTGGAAAAATGTTCCAGTTCAGAATTTTCTGATGGGTTCATTATGATCTTCAYGTATAGCAGTGTTTAAACATAGAAATACTTTATTTTGGCTGTTTCCTTCATTATATAACACTAAATCTATCAAAAGAAGGGAATTTTGAATATGTGGTAAGCAAAAGTATTACAATTATTGTGTTGAAATATAAAAATATGCTAATTTATTAGCTCTTAATATTCTCGTCATATAGATCACCAAGAAAGTAAAAACAGAGTAAAACTACAAAAACAAATGGTGAACATATTTCAATCAGAACCACTTATTTGCAATCTGCAGATCTGATGGCGGCGCGTGAACAACGCGAGGCTCAGCGTCTCTCCAGGACCTGCTATTTAGTGGTTTTCTATCTATTTTTTACCAGACTTTATTTTCCAGAACTGCACCGCGTTGCTGTGCTATAGCAGACATGAGCTTCTGGATCTGTGGAGCAACAATATTAACACTTTTATCGCCGATCTCCGACTCATCCCAGAAATCTCCAGAACACCGGAGGCTGTCCACTTCTCCCGCCCGAGCGGAAGTGCGCGCAGATGGCGAAGAGACCGTAAACAAAGGCGGGGTATGCGTGGAGGGGTGCGAGCTAGACTAAAGCTAACACCACACCAGCTCCCTTTACCCAGCATTTTCCTCGCCAATGTCCGTTCTCTGGCCAATAAAATGGACGAGTTACGACTTTTCATCACGAGTGACAGACGGATTATGGACTCAAATGTCATGKTTTTCACCGAAACATGGCTAAATAACAGTTGTCTGGACAATGCTATCCAGCTAATTGGACGCCACACACACCGAGCCGACAGGATTGCAACTGACTCCGGCAAGACCAGAGGCGGAGGCTTGTGCATTTATATTAACAAAGCTTGGTGCACAGACTCTGTAACTACCGGGAGTCACAGCTCACAGAATGCAGAGTTTTTAATGGTCAAATGCAGACCTTATTACCTCCCAAGGGAATTCACTTCAATCATCCTCACTGCTGTGTACATCCCCCCGGATGCTAATGCCAAGCTAGCCATGAAAGAACTCTATGCGGCCATTAGSAAACACCAAACCAAACACCCCGAGGCTGCTTTTATTGTTGCGGGTGACTTCAACCACTCCAACTTGAAGACAGTCCTCCCCAGATTTCATCAACACGTCTCCTGCCACACTAGAGGAGACAAGACCCTGGACCAYGTCTACTCCAATCTGACTGGAGCTTACAAGGCGACACCGCTCCCCCACATCGGACAATCAGATCATCTCTCCCTGTTCCTCACACCTCGGTACTCACCACTCATCCAACGTGTGAAACCCACTGTGAGGAGAGTAAAGGTGTGGCCAGGGGGTTCAGACGCTGTGCTCCAGGATCGGTTCAGGAACACAGATAGGAATACTTTCCACCACACAGACTTGGATCAGTACGCTTCATCTGTATTGGACCACATTTCCACTACCATAGACTCCGTCACCACCCATAAACACATCACCATGTACCCTAACCAGAAACCCTGGATGAACCGAGATGTGAATCTCCTGCTGAAGGCCCGCAACATCGCCTTCAGGTCAGGGGATGCACAGACCTACAGTGCAGCCAGGGCTGAGCTGAAGAGGGGAATCAAGAAGGCCAAACACCACTACAAAAAGAAGGTGGAGGATCACTTTTCCAACTCCAACCCCCGAAGTATGTGGCAAGGCCTTCAGATTCTCACAGACTACAAGAATCCCAACACCTCCCCCACTTCCTCTGATGTCTCCTTCCTCAACGAGCTTAACAACTTCTATGCTCGTTTTGAGAGAGGGAACACCACAACTGCAACTAAGGCAACCACCACCTCAGACCAACAGCCGCTGATTCTCCTCTCCACTGACGTAGGAGCGGCTTTGAGCAGGATTAAATCACACAAGGCTGCGGGTCCTGATGGCATACCTGGACATGTCCTTAGAGCGTGCTCTGAGGAGCTGGCAGGAGTGCTAACGGAGATCTTCAACCTGTCCCTGGCCCGCGCTGTGGTACCGACCTGCTTMAAGTCTACCTCCATTATCCCAATCCCTAAGAATTCCAACTCAACCAGACTCAATGACTACCGCCCGGTAGCCCTCACCCCCATCATTACCTAGTGCTTGGAGCGCCTGGTCCTAGCACACCTCAGATCCTGTCTCCCCCCCACACTGGACCCCCACCAATTTGCATACAGGCAGAACAGGAACACAGAGGACGCAGTCTCCATAGCGCTGCACTCTGTCCTCTCTCATCTGGACAGCAAGAACACTTACGCCAGAATGCTGTTCTTAGACTTTAGTTCAGCATTTAACACTGTCATTCCATCACAACTCATTACCAAACTCRCAGACCTGGGCATCAGTTCACTCATGTGCAACTGGCTGCTCGACTTCCTGACCAGTCGACCCCAACATGTCCGGCTGGATAAVCACTTCTCATCCACCATCATCATAAACACCGGAGTGCCACAAGGCTGTGTGATGAGTCCCTTCCTCTACTCCATCCTCACCTATGACTGCAGACCTGTCCATGGCTCAAACGCCATCAAGTTTGCAGATGACACCACAGTGATCGGCCTAATCAGAGATAACGATGAGGCCGCCTACAGGGAGGAGGTGGACCGTCTGGCTGAGTGGTGCAACAAAAACAACCTGCAGCTGAACACGGAGAAGACCAAGGAGCTTATCGTGGACTTCAGGAGGAATGCTGACCTATACCCACCCATCCACATTAAAGGGACAGAGGTGGAGTGTGTAGACAGCTTTAAGTTCCTGGGGGTCCACATCTCCAAGGATCTGACCTGGACGACCAGCTGCTCCAAACTCATCAAGAAGGCACACCAGCNGGACTCTGAAGAGTGGAAAGAAACAGGACGCTAATATGCTAATTAGTGCTGATGGACTCTGAAGAGTGGAAACAAACAGGATGCTAACATGCTAAATAGTGCTAATGGACTTTTATTTTTACTAAAATGTTATTTTTTATTAATTAAAGTTGATTTTTTTGCATTTGGGAATATTGAGGACCGTGTGGACGCAGTTCAAAGGCCACTTTAAGCCCTCGAGCCCTACTCTGAGCTCATTACCAGCTCTGCAGCTGCTCCAGCCCGGTCAGCATCGGACCACCGATGGCAGCGATCTGCTGCCGGCGTTTCCAGTCCTGCAGCTCGGGGCTGAGCTGAGACGACATCAGGTCRTCGATCTCTTTGATCACCACGTCCATCTTCGATAAGATCTCCTGAAATAAGAAGAACAGACCACGACCGCGGGTTTACCTCACCAACTCTGACCTAATGTTGGGTTTAAATCATTGCTTTCTGTTTTTATTTGTATTCCACACATGTCCTGCCTGGGTTTGATTCATGCGTAATAAAAACATCTTATCATCACACCCAGACGGTGTGTTACATCACAGCTGTGAAAATACCAACCTTCCTCTTAAAGTCCAGCCTGTTGAGCATTTCCTGGAGTCTCGTTACTTCCATTTTCATCATGTCGGAGTTTCTGTCTGAGGATTCTGARCAAAAATAAACATTTAAAGTCACAAACTTGAACGTTTTATAACGTTTCAGGCAGGACTGGCGGTTCTTTGGTGCTGAGAACATTTGACAGATCGCAGACTAAACGCACCTCGAGACTGGAGGGTCTTGTAGCAGAAATCGAAGTCGTCTTGCATGTCCTCGATGCATTTCACGGCCTGATCCATCAACTTCAAACAGATCATGTCAAACAAGCATTGAAGACGGCTGCATTTGAGCTCAGATTATCCCTGACAGGTGTTGGGGTTACCTGCACGCTGCTCCTGATGATCCCCACCCTGTTGTCCATGTTCTTCTGCCTCTCCAAGGCCACAGAGTTCTGCAGAGACTTCTCCAGAGCGCCCTGTTCCAAACCTTCACTCAGTTACTTTATTGTCAGGATTTCTGACACATAAATGAGTTTTATATTGATTATCTTGGCTTTGGGCTCAACAATCGGAATAATAATCCCTTACAAAGTATCGTTACACGTTCTTGTGATGTTCTGGACATCTTTGAACAGAAAAAATAGTATAGCATTTTAGATTTCCAGCCAACAGAACAAGCTTTTAATGGTTGATTTTAGGAAAGATTTCTTTATCTGACAACCTTTTATGATTTAAATATGTTTGATGCTGAGCAGAAAAGCTTTTTCATAACTTTTGGGCAGATTAGTAGAGCCCATAGACTTAAATTAGAACCCTAGACTGAGCCCCGCTCATCCCGTCCACTGTCTCCGTCTAAGATTCAGTGTTTTGTATTTCTTTGGTTCTCTCTTTGGGTTGTTGTGTGCAGCAGTCTCTTCCTTCCTGCTAACAACCCAGACGTACAAGCAGCGAGGGTAAGACAGCAGAGGGACTTTCCCTTTGACTCAGAGGGCGGGACAAACCTGTTCCTGCGTGCAAGCGCTGGCCAGGATCCGCCGCTCCTCCTTGAGGCAGGTGGAGATGACTCTGGACATGGCGGTGGGGTTGGTTGTGTATTTCCTCTGGGGGGCAACATCCACACACAAAGACAGGATTTTCACACGACAGAACAAAAAGACAGAAACACTTTGTGATTTAATGCTTAAATGCTGTGATGTGAGTTTTATTGGAAGGATTGCGTAATGAACAGGTGTGGTTTTAAGGGAGGGGCACAGGGTGACTGTTATCTCAAAACNCATGCACACTGTCCTCACACTTATACATACTCTGTATATAATCTGTATATAATCTGAAAATCTTATTTGCCATTAACTATCTTACATTGTAAATCTACTAATACATATACAATTCATTTCTAACATTTTGTTTAATCTGCATAATCTATATGTGCACATAGCTCCCATATTTTTTATTTATATTATTTTTATACTGAACATTTTATTTTTAAAACAACTTTTGCACACCTGTAAATACATAATTATACCCTGTATAGCACTTCTGGATAGATGCAAACTACATTTCGTTGCTTGTACTTGTGACAGTGCAATGACAATGAAGTTGAATTCTATTCTATTCTAGTTTGAACTTATATAAACATGAAGACGAGCTTCTTGTTTCTGATTGGATCCTTCTGATTCAGGATGAGAAGTTCAGATCGTAAGTGCATTGTGTGGTCCAGAGCTCATGAAAGAGCTCAAAAATCTCCTGTGCGTTCAGTTCATCTTCTATACTTGGGTTGATTTCGTTCTGCGGAGAAACACAAACATTGTTTGTAAAAAAAGCAGCTACAGTGCAGAAGTTCTTTAAAACATTTTCTGATCACCAAAACCAGAGATTTTTTTTATTTCAGAAAAAAATGATTCAAACTCACAATGTTTGTTTCGATGTTCATGGGCACCTCTCCGGGTGGAGATGGARGCGGGGTAGGGTTGCTGTTGGATGCAAAGAAACGACGGTTCAGACAGATCAAATATTTCTGATGCAAACCTTTCATTCAACACTCTGACTTACATTTCTGCCCAAATAATCATTCTTGTTGTTGTTGCACATGATCCTGCAAAAGAAAAAGAAAATGTAGCAATGTTAACATGAATAAATTAGTTTTATTCCTTTTGATAAAGAAWGAAAAACCCACATACTGAAACAAATAATTACATACTGCCAAACGTTATCTGGTAATTTTGACCCTTTATGTACGGTTTTATTCTCGTTACCGGTGACTTGGTAGTAGCGTCCGAAGGCCGTGTCTTTGTGGATGTCGGGGTAAAGATAGATCAGTGGGTTGAAGCTCTTCTCGANCCCCTTTGTAGGCTAGTAAATATCTCCCCCTCCTTGAAACGGGCCAGTTAGCCGAGAACAATGTTTTGAACAGTGCGTTTCTATTGGGAAAATACTGGTAAATAAAGATTAATATTTTGAATATTATAACAGCCACATAAACCAAAAGTCATAGTATGGATCTCCTCAACATGCTGAACGTTTTGATATATGAATGGCCAGAAAATAACATAAGGTATAGGAAAGTAGATTGAAAATCAAAGATGGATAAATAAAAATGATGAAAAATAAGCAGAAATAGATTTCAAAACACATGCAAAATAATCTAAATAAAAGCATAAATGCTGAGTCAACCTTTAGAGATGTTCCAGTTGTTTTGGGAGTTTTAGTTTTTCCATCAGTGCAGATGTTTTCTCTCCAATCATTTAAATAAATAAACCTGATAAAGATTTGCTGAAGCAGATTTGACAGAGAACAGTGTTTACAATGCCTTTCTTTTTGGGGTGAAAATTTGTAAACATAGGTAGATATTTAGAATATTATAAAAGCTACAAAGACCAAAAGTCATAGCATGAATCTCCTCAACAATCCGAACATTTTGATATATGAATGGCCAAATAGTAGTGCAAAGTATGCAGAGGTAGTTAGTTGCAAAATGCGTTCGGAAAAATAAATGCAGAAATGCTGAGTCAACCTTCAGAAATGTTCCATTTATTTTGGAGTATTTTGACTTTTTACCTGATATTTTTCCTCAAATTTTTTTAATAAGACAAATCTAATAAAGATTTGACAGAGAACAATGTTTACAATGCCTTTCCTTTGGACTGAAAATTTGTACACAAAAGTAAATATTAAGAATATTAAAAAAGCTATAAAGACCAAAAGTCATAGCATGTACCTCCTCAACAAGCCGAACATTTTGACTTATGAATGGCCAAATAGTGAAAAGTATGCAGAAGTGTTTAGTTGCAAAACGCATGCGGAAAAATAAAAATAAACGCCGAAACGCTGAATCAGCCTTCAGAAATGTTACATTTATTTTGGAGGTTTTTTTTTTTTTTTTACTTTCTACCTGATATTTTTTCTCTAATTTTTTACTAAGACAAATAAATTTAACAAAAGTCAAAGCAGAGTCCAGTTTGATTAAGCAGATAAAAAAACAATGTTTATAACAATTCATTTCTATTGTGGAAAATATTTATACATAAATAACAGTGAATATTTTTAATAATACAAAACCTACAAAAAACAAAAGTCATGTGATGCAGCTCGTGAAAAAGCTGAATGTTTTGATATATGAATGGGCAAAAAAACAGTAAAAATATGAAGTAGAATGCAAAATGTGCCTGAAAAAATAAAAATAAAAGCTTGAACGCTGAGTCAGACTTTAGTGATGTTCCAGTTGTTTTGGAGAATTTAGTGTTTGCACCTGTGAAGATGTTTTACCCTCTTAATTAAAAAGGACAATAAGTTGTGAGGGAAAAAAAGAGAATATATTTGTAAATCTGTCTGTTCTGACATTTTTCTGTCACTGACTTGTATTGTTGGAGGGGTTGTTGCAGGATGTTCAGCTTATTTCACGTCAGGAGCTCGAGCTGATGTTTTATTCTTGAAAAGACTTAAAGTTTTTGCGGAATGAGGCCGTGAGGCCCGTACCACTACTTCCTGTGTCAGAGCTAACACGTTTCAGAGGAAGCAGGCAGTCCTCTGTGGTGGTGCTGCTTGTGTTTGTGGCTTTTTGTTGTTGTTGTCGTGGGCCTCATGCAACACATGGAAAAAAAATGAAAAGATGAATCATTTCTTTGCCTCGAATCCGATTCTTTCTTAGAAACATTGCTGTAAGGTTTTGCGGTCGCAGAGAGCTAGCGCAGCCGAGCCGTGGAAACAGCCGAAACAGCAGCCAGAAAAGGGAAGAAAACTTGTGATTTTGTTGTTCTGAAAGCGTGAAGGTGTGGGAGTTCTGCTGGCGCCCTTCAGTGTCGGGTAATGATGCTGATGAAAACTGGAGGGGAAACTTTCCCTCTGAAGAATTTTCTGAACTTCTTTAACCAGGTTAAATGTCAAACAGAAACGGTGTCGAAGCTCAGGGGAAGTTTGAGGCTGAGCTTTTTCTTTTATACGCCCAGTTTCTGGACTTATTAAGACTTCAGCGTCTTTCATGTATAAAAACTGTCTCCAAATTGATTTATTGTCTGGATTTTCTTCCTACTGACTGTTTATTTGTGAAAACTCAGATGTTTGTAGGCGTTATGATTAACCTGCTGCTGCCCTTGGGTCAAACAGCTCTGGAGGCCTCAGTTTTAATCTGACTGAAAAACATCAGATATGTGNTTTATTTATTTACTTATTCATTTTTTGTTCTTTTCTTTTTATCTACAAAAACCCCATGGATATTCACCCTGATCCAGAGCTCTACTTGGGCTAAGACCACCAAACAGTCGGCTTGTYGGACCACTGAGACTCAGACAGCTTCCAGAAATATCAACTAAAACCCTGAATCTGTGCCTGGTGAGTGAAATTGTAAATGTGGTTCGTCTCCATTTCACTTCTTTCCTCGTTCAGWTCTTTGCTTTCACTAAATTAAAACCTAGGCGTTAGCATCAGCACTAGCTATAGTGTTAGCCTGATTGTTAGCATGTTATTAGCAGCAATGTTTCAGTTTTAAAGTAATATCAAGCCCGTGGTTAGTAGCCGCATGCTAGCAAAACTACATGGCTTAATTTAACTGTCTCAGTTCTGAGTAAGCTGGGAATATTAAACAATCATCATTCTAAAAGATTACCGTATTTATTCATGTTTAATACAATCTCACATATTTTTTGAGCTTAAAAAGCATAAAAAATTGAATCCTCAAACTACCTCCAATTTCATATAGACTTCAAGATTTTTCAGCCTTAGCGGTCTTTATACATATCAGTAAAATGATCATYGGACTGTTCRTTTTATTTTAACAACATATGTACTAAAAGGTATTTTGACAACAAATATACTGTATATCAGCTGTAGCAGTATCATATGAATTCTAGCATTTTACACATAGTCCACCAGGAGGTGCCAACACACAAGTCAGAGACTTCACATGAGATTTGGGCCATCTTGTGGGGGAAAAGCAGATTACTTCCTACTCGCGAGCGCCCCCTCTGGTGGGGAAACAWTTTTTCAGGGATACAAACTTTTTCAGAACACCGGTAGACGGCAGCCATTACAGACGAACATGTGTTTGTTGTTGTTCCAGCAGCGGCCCGGTCACATGCTAATGTCATTAGTTCACTATCATTACTAAGGTGCAGGAATACTTTTTCTCCCTTTTTTCACATCATGTCTCCTGCTTGGATCTGTTACTATCTCGTTCTGAAGCACGGAGGAGTGTCAGATGTAAGCTTGTTTCAACAGTTTTTTACGGTTTTAAAAGTCCCTGGATTGATTTAATAAAGAATATGCTAACAGAGTTATTACAGGCAGTTTATTATTATTTATATTTACTGCTACTTTCAGCTAGTATTTATTTACCTTTAACTGTTAGCTACTTTGCAAAAACCATCTGAAGTTTCTATGTAGCATTTAGCCATTTTTAGCTAGYTTTTTTAAGAAACAAACCTCCACTGGAATGGTCCACCCAGCTGAAGGTGACGGCTCCATCTGTGATGCTCTCACTGAACCGGATCAGGAAAGTCCCATTCAGTTTATCCTGCAGTAGGACATTGGTTCTSTCCCGGCTCACRAACCCCATGATGGTTCTAAAATGCGAGAGAAGCACAGATAAACGTGGATGCCTATACAAATATTCACGGGCRACTTGAGATGGTCTTACCCGTCCCGCCAAAGTTCAACCAAGTGTTTTTTGATCAGATCCAGGACTCCATCGATCCAAATCCAGAAACTTTCATCCTGGAGCCACGAGAAAGAAAAACTACCTGTGACTTGTTTGTTTTAAAGATTTGGATTGTTTTTGAACATCACCTCTACTTTAAATTTATTATTCACCTTGGAGAACTTGCTCCAGGAGACCAGACCATTAGGATCATCTGTAAAATGTATACAGATGACCNAACCCCATGATGGTTCTAAAATGCGAGAGAAGCACAGATAAACGTGGATGCCTATACAAATATTCACGGGCAACTTGAGATGGTCTTACCCGTCCCGCCAAAGTTCAACCAAGTGTTTTTTGATCAGATCCAGGACTCCATCGATCCAAATCCAGAAACTTTCATCCTGGAGCCACGAGAAAGAAAAACTACCTGTGACTTGTTTGTTTTAAAGATTTGGATTGTTTTTGAACATCACCTCTACTTTAAATTTATTATTCACCTTGGAGAACTTGCTCCAGGAGACCAGACCATTAGGATCATCTGTAAAATGTATACAGATGACCRTCAAAAAAGTCATTAATAAAAATCAGGTGTGTCAAGACAGAGAAACATCTAAAACRTGCAGAATAGTGGCCCTCCAGGACCAGGACTGGACACCACCGGTTTATAGAGACGATACCAGTCATCTAAGGGAGTCCTGCCAAGTACTGACCCACAAACTTGTCTTTGAGCATGGAGAGCTGATCCTCGTCAAGTCCTCGTTGGCTTACAGACAAAAACTGCCAGCTCAGAAGTTGTGAAAGCTGCTGCCAGGGCATGGGAGGAGGATCAGCAAACAGCGACAGGTTCTGAAGGACAAAGACCAAAATTTAAAAACAAGTGGTTTTGACTGGCTGGATCAGTTACTGATGATGATCATGAGGTGGGCAGTCTTTACCAATGGTTCACTGATGGACAACATGTTGCACCACATGATGGAGGCCCAGGCACTGGGAACCTGATTGGAACTGGAAACGACAACCACTGGCAGGGAACTGGCCTGGACCGAGGCCAAGGGAAACCAGTCAATAAATTTTAGGTTTAATACCAGAGAAGGCTACGTTAAAAATACAATGTTGAAACTGAAATGACGGAAGTTTTGGATAGTACCTCGATGTTAAATGTCTGCCCAGCGTGCTTCAAAACTGTCACAAATTGAAGGATGTGAAGTTCTTCTGTGACTCCAACAGAACTCTGATGACAAACAACAAACAATACTTTAATGAACCACCAACAGAGTATACAGTGAACTGTCTACAGGTATACATCAGATGTGGTAGATGCTCTACATGGTAGCTCATGTAATGGTCAGGAATGCTTCATAAGGATGACCATGTTTTACAGTTTTGGGTGTAGACTTTTGTTCCTTGGGCAATACAGAACCCCCGATTGTCTAAGTATGAGTAAAAATTTTAAAAAGTGCTCTACTGCCATTCCTCCATGATTGGGTCAACAGCCCAAGGTGTTCTCCRAGCCAGATACATAATCCGTCCAGAAGTTCTGAGTCTGCCTCATGGTTTCCTCGAGGAGATATCCATGAGGTATCTTAAGGAGGAAGCATTTTAACSAGTTGAATCCAAGTTCATGTCTCGATCATGACTCTTAGACATATGTGAGGGCTGGAATGTAGATTAATCAGTAAATCTATGGCTTTGTCTTTGGTCTCAGATCCTTTTTCACCACAACAGATCAAAGCTACATCCTCATTAATATGGACAAGACTTCCAGACACTTGAATGCCTCCATTTTAGATCTCATTCCCAACTTTTAGGACTGGTTCCAACATTTACCTGTTGAGAACCATGGCTGTGGACATAGAAGGAATTGGCGCTAAAGGTTGTGGCTTTAAGACACCAACGGAACCACATCATCTGCAAAAAGTAGAAATCCAAACCAGACTCTTCTTTGAACTTGAGAAGAAGAATTTAGCGCACAATAACTATGTGTCAAGACAAGACTTGGTTTGGTTCTAGGACTTGATACCTCTTAGAAGCAATCCCTGAACCCCACCGGAATGCCTCGTAGAGTTCTTTGCAGAACCTGAGATGGTTAATTTGGCTCAAATGTTTAATTTGAAACAATAAAAGTTTTCTCTTACCTCGCTTGCTTTAGTTCSTCTTGTTTTTTCTTTGAGTGACTGAAAACAGAAAAGAAGAAATGGCTGTTATGTTACAAAAGAAATAAATTTCCATTTTAAATATTTATTTAAGTGTTTTAGTTTCACACCATGTGCTCAAACTCTGCTATCAAGCCTCCACCTGGTGTGTCCACATCCAACACCTTACTGTCATCCCTGGTGAGGTCAAAGACACGAAATCTGCAAACAAACACAAAAAATTTATAATTTCTGGTAAAAATGTTTTTTGAAAAGCWCAGGTTGGATCTTAAATGATGGTTAACAGACCCAGTGACCATCTTCACTTCTTTGACATCCCTTGTTTTGAGGNTTTATAACTTGGACCTTCTGATTTTGACTTAGACCTGCTGTTTTATAACTTGGACCTTCTGATTTTGACTTGGACCTGCTGTACCTGCAGCTGCTGCTGGATTATCTTCATGTTATGTCTCTGCAGGAAGTTCTGCTCCTGCGTTCGGACCTTCTCCAGCTGAGACAGAAGGTTGGTGAGTAGAACCGACGCCATCGATTCGTCGTTGACCGCCGAGTCCCTGAAACACAGAAAGTTTACTGTTACATCCAACATGCATCCAACATACATCCAACATAGATCCAACATAGATACAACATACATCCAACATACATCCAACATAGATMCAAAATACATCCAACATACATCCAACATTGATCCAACATACATCCAACATACATCCAACATAGATCCAATATACATCCAACCTGCATCCAATATGCAATGTTAATCCTTTCCACCATCTAATCACAATCTATTCACATTCATCCATTCATCCATTCATCCATTCAACATACCTTCATCCATCCAACTGAAGGACATTTTAAAACTGATTAACGAAATATTAGTTACAGTCGTGTATTTTGTACTTTTTGATCATTGCAGCCAATATGATTTAACACACAGAATGAGAGTTTGTGTGTCTTATCACATGAGGTCTTTCTGTCTCCGTTACAAAGTTATTACGTTCTAACATCTGACTTGATATGTAACACCTCCAGGGGCTGTGACCAGGAAGTCAGACATATCAAAAGGTTGATCCGTCATGATGTGAGAAGAGGTTTTTTGAGTTTACAGTGTCTGCTTTAGATCAGCCTGGGACAGCCTGGGACAGCCTGGGACAGCCTGGGACGGCCTGGGACGGCCTGGGACAGCCTGGGACAGCCTGGGACAGCCTGGGACAGCCTGGGACAGCCTGGGACAGCCTGGGACAGCCTGGGCTTTTGTTTTACTTTTCAGATAAGACCTTCTGACTGCTGCTGGAGCTGATTGGAGCAGATTTGGAATAAAGAGAATCAATTGGTTTTCTGCTAAATTATTCAGACTTTCATTTGATGGTCACAAAATTCATTCATTCATTCATTCATTCATTCATTCATTCATTCATTCATTCATCTAACTACGGTCTTCTTGTTGAAACACAAACTTGGATTAAAAACTAAACCTGTTATTTTTGACACAGATATTTTGTTTTATAATGTCTTTGTTTCATTGAGTCAACAGAATCTGAATCTTCAGTTTTAACACAACCTCCTCTTTTACAATAATTCTAAAAGAAGTGTTTCCTTCTCAAGTGAACACGTCTATTTTCCCAAACGACTGCTTGAATTAAATGAAATGAGTCCTCCTCTGTAGGCGGTTTGGGTTTGTTGTGCTGGAGATTCAACATGGAACAGAWATAAATCACTGATGATTCATAAAAGGGTCAAATGTTACCTCTGGTATAAATGAGACAAACTCCCTGATTGTATAATTCAATTTACACTAAGAGAAAAACTGTGGTTAAAAACACAGGAAGTGATGTCGCTGGGTTTGTAAACAAGCTTCAGGAAGTAGTTTGTCTGTCGTTCTGACAGCTGCAGTAAAAATACTTCAGACTGAACGTGTTCCTCTCTGAGATCTGAGCTGCAGMTCCTGCTTTTCTGCACATCAGAACCAGACGTCTGCTGATTCATCCAGACTTCAGCTGCAGCTCAGATTATCCTCGAAAACACATGAAATGTGATATTTGAAGGTGAAATCTACATAAAATCAGGCTTTGGTTGAATAAAACTAGTTGTCTGTGGAGGACTGTGAGCTTTTAACAACAAACACAACAGAGCAGGTTGTTGGCTCTTTTCCAGACGATGACATCATCACATGGCAGGTGAATCTTAGAGAATGACACGATCACTAGAAATCAGGGATGACAGGAAAGTCTTGCTGCTTTGGAATAATGGAGCACTTTCCTCTTTTGACCTTTAAATGTATGTTTGTTGTCTATAAAGTAAATAAACTTGGGACAGATCAAACTGAACCCCTCAAAAATCGTATTTTTGTTGCTTCTGTTTGTCGTAATCCCATTTTATTTTTATTTTTTATATTTTTAAGTCATGAGTTTCCACTTAAGCATGCATTAAGGTGCAAAAATGTCCCTTTAAGGTATAAAAATGTTAGTTTGTTTAAGGTTTCTTGGTGTTTTCTTTAAAAACAGGTGAATGTTGACAAAAATAAAAGCACCCTGGACTCACCAGTCCTGGGACTCGATCCAGCCAGCCAGGCCCTGCCTGATGTCCATGGGGAAGTTGTCATCGTACAGGTAGTCCACATGTTCCAGGAGCCTGATCTCCAGCTGCTGAATCTGTTTCCACTGGCTCATCCTGGCTGAGGGATCATCATCGTCACCATCAGCACACAAACAGGACTAACTGCTTTCAGCTCTGTGTTCTCTCTTACCTCAGGTGTTTCTCTCTGTTTCTGTCCTGTCGCTCACTCTTCACCATGTGCACCTGCTTCTGTCGCAGGCTTTCACTTCACTGAGTCGCCTGAATCAGGAAGAGACGTTATGGTTCAGTGACACACATCAGGAAGCAACCGGCCCTCCCACTGAAACAACCAACATATGACCACCCACTATAATCTGGTTACACATGTAAACTAATGTGGGCACACAATTATMCTGTAGATTAAAGCAGATAACAATGCATGTTTGATTTAAAAACTTGAACATTTTTGCTTAGAAATATCATTTTGNATCCAAAGATTACTGTGAGTTTAGTTAAAATCTGTTTTGTGGTTCATGAAATACTTTGCTAATGGCTAATTTTATCCCTAGTATAGCCATCCTTATGTTCCCAAGTACTATGTTACCTGGATCCTTATGTTCCTCTGACACCTTTATGTTCCCAGTACCTGTGTTCCATATATCTCTAAAAGTYCCCCACTCAGTACACAAAGACCTATGTTATCTGGTACTTATGATCCCCCAATCCCTATGTTCCACACAAATACACCCATCACTATATTCTCTATATTTCCCTGTACCCACTGTGTGTTCCTCCAATCCCTTAAAATTCTCCCATTTCTGTACACCCATCCCTGTTGCCCTGTCCTTATGCCCCCCCCCCCCAGTACCCATGTCCCCTGATCCTTATGGTACTTATGTTGCCCAGTACCTATCTTCCCCCGATACACCTATCCCCATGTTCCCTAGTACTTATGTTTCCCAGAACCATTGCCATTGCTCTGATACACCTATCCCTATCCCTGGTACTTATGTTGCCCAGTACCTATGTTCCCCCCGATACACCTATCCCTATGTACTTGTGTTGCCCGGCACCTATGTTCTTCCCTGATACACCTATCTCTTTGTTCCCCTGTACTTATGTTGCCCGGTACCTATGTTCCCCCTGATACACCTATCCCCATGTTCCCTGGTACTTATGTTTCACAGAACCATTGCCATTGCCCTGATACACCTATCCCTATCTCTGGTACTTATGTTGCCTGGTACCTTTGTTCCTCCCTGGTACACCTATCCCTATGTTCCCCGGTACTTATGTTGTTTGGTACTTATGTTCCCTGGTACTTAGGTTGCCCGGTACTTAGGTAGCCTGACACACTGATGCCTTTGTTCATCAGACACCCAAATTTCCAGATCCCTATAAAATATAAACAGTATGGACTATCTCAGTTTAATCCTTTGGCCTGAAAGGCCTTACATGCAATTCTTACCGTACAGTAACTCTGAAGCGCACCCCAGTCTTCAGTATGAGAGGCCGCTGTGGTAAATTCTGCATCACAGGTTGTTTCTCCACCACCAGAGCACTACAACGCACAATGGATCCAGTTAACATTTGCAGATGATAGTTGGATAAAATACAAAGAATACTTTCAGTTAGGGGTGCAAAGAGACAGAAAATTTACGTAAATTTCTCTGAAACTTTCCATGAGAAATACAGCTGGAGAATTTTGTTTAAAACAGAAATTTTTCATGGGAAATATGGGAATTAAATGGATGTTGGGAGTTATTTAATTAAACTATCATATTAAAATAATAATATAATTACTGCTTTGTAACAGGCCAATAATTTCACTCAACCTTACAATTTTTAGAAGACAATTGTCCTAACATGTGCCAACCATCCCTACATGTCCTGATTGTCCTTACATTTCCCAATAGTCTCCACATGTCCCAATTGTTTCTAAATGTCCAAATCTTCTCTAGTAGATTCATCCCTACATGTCCCAATAGCTGCTAAATGTCCCAATGGTCTCCCCATATTTCAATCATTCATATATGTCCAAATCTTGTTTACATATCCCAATGGTCTCTACACGTCCCAATCAACCCTACATGTCCCAATCAGCCATACATGTCCTTAGTCTCCACATGTCCCAATCAGCCATACATGTCCCAATCAGCCATACATGTCCTTAGTCTCCACATGTCCCAATCAGGCATACATGTCCCAGTCATCCCTACATGCCCCAATGGTCTCTACATGTCTCATTGAAACTTTGGAAGTTTCCAATACTTTTCAACCCGGCTTGATGCGATGGCTCACTTTGTGAGAAGCTTTGTGATCAACAACAGCACAAATTTATCGATTTCTGTAATAGAAGCAGAGAGGTTGGAGGCGTCTGTGCTGCTGTATTTGTTGTTCTGGTCCTGCAGCTTCTGCAGCTGATCACGGACTCCAAGTAGAACCTCAGCCACGGCCGTGATCCTGCGAACAGAGTGTGAACACATACAGGATTGTAAAATTAACTGGAAAGATAACCAAAGACAATACTAACACACATCCTTACCACTTCTGAAGGAGCTCC